CAAGCATTTATTGACTGACTAGATTTTCTATTCCTCAGGTTAGTGCATCTGTTACTGTAAGTCCATGCCACTCAAGATGGCAGGTCTCTTGCTCTTGGTACGTCCTCTGCTTGATCAACACTTGCTTGTGTGCCTGCTAAGTTGTTTCAGTTGTGCCCAACTCCTTGCAACCCCATGGACTGTAGCCTGCCAGGCTCCCCTGTCCATGGAATTCTCCAGGCAAGAATATTGGAGTGAGTTGCCATGCCCTCCTCCAGGGGATCTTCCTGACCCAGGGATTGGACCCACCTCTCTTGCCATCTTCTACATTGGCAGGTGGCTTCTTTACCACTAGCGCCACCTGAGAAGCCCCCAGCACCTGCTTGACCACACGACTGTCCAGTCCTCTGAATTATAGGGCTTAATTAGTCCCTGGAAACTGATGAGACAACCTGATGTCAATTTCCCCTGTAAATAGTACCTCTTCCTCCCACAGGAAATGCTGCCATTTCCTGCTCACTGTTTGCCAAACATGGTGGGGTGTCTCCCCAGGACCCTTCGTGTAAGATTCCCCCATCCGTTAAACCAACAATGTCTTTGTCACTGTCTCCCGGCTTTTTCATCAGTCTGCATCTCCAGGCTGGGCAACTGCAAGGCTTACAGTCCCGCAGCGTGCAGCCACACTGTCAGGTATAAGGAGTTATAGAAGTGAGGAACTCAGGGATGTTTCCATAAAATGATACTATATAAAAACTTTTAAATCATCTGTGTTATATTAAGAAGAACATGTTAAAGGTTTAAATTTTAAATGACTTTTTGTTACTAAAACAATATCCACTATTTACATTTATGATTTATTTTGTCAACATGGTATGTAGAGAATGTATGATGAATATTTACTGTTTCTCAAAATGAAATATGGCAGGTAGTTTGATAAGCCTTAAGCTTATAAAGAGAGTTGTGTGCTGAAAAAATAATCTAGTCCAAGGTTTGAACTGGAAGCTTTTTCTCTAAAATTATACTTTTCAGAATACTGGTGCTATGGGATAATTTATTTGGTAAAGTTGCTTGTAAGGTATCCTAGACAGCTAATAGATGTATTTTTGAATGACCGGGATAATATATTCCATTGTATGGGCCATCAGCTATTTAATTTCTGTCTAAATATTAACTGTTGGACTAGTATATATTTTCACAAAATGCAAAATCATGACTGTCAGTTTTTCCATGACTAACTATTCCCTGCCAGATGTTTTTTAGGTTCTGCTAAGTCATATTTTCTTCCCCCCAGAACTCTGTGTTCCCACTCCTATTCCCTTTGGTCTTTTTCCTATTTTGCCTTTTACCTGAATTTTGGGCAAAATGGTTTTATTGCTCTTTTTACTATTTCATATGAATACAATAGTTTCACACAAATTACTCTCAATTTCACCTCTGTCATAAAGTTCAACCTATCCTTTTCCAGGGGAGAGATACACTTTGTGCAATTTATTCAAAGCAGTTATTAAGCCTTTCTATGCAAGAAAAGCTATCAGATGACTGAAAATCTTCTGAATCACTCCAATATCAAAGCTTTAGGAAACTGAAAATGAAAACCAGTTCACAAATTTTGCATTTGCTTTCTGGTCTTCAGCTGCTTCTCCTGATTAGCTTTTCTGGCCGTAGCAAGGATCATTACCCATTAGTTAGATCATTAGAGCTCACTGTAAAATGATGCTTTACAACACATGGTTGATTTGTATTTTCTTACCAAGTTGAGTTCATATGGAATATTCATGTAGCCAGTAGACAGAAAAATTCCAATGACAAATTTCATCTCTAGAATGCCAGTGAAAATATCTGACTGCATGTGTGGTTTCAAAAAGTGTTTATTGATTCAAAACATATTAGAAACCTACCATGTGATTGAAATTGTAAGAGAAATGTAAAGAAAAAACCTAGTCCTTATTCCCCCAAGGAATTGTAATGGGAAAGAAAGACAACAAACACAAGTTGAAATCAAGTAAAATATTTGATGAAATTAGGTCTGTGAAATCAGTGGGAAGTGCCATAAAAGTACAGAGGAAGCACTGGAACATTACCCCAGCCACTCTCAGACTCTTCATTGCCCACATTTCATCACTGGTTATGCAAAGGCAATGCAACCTCTTCTACATGACTCCACGCATGTGTGTTTGAAGGAGAAACCATCAGAATATTCCTGCTGGAGAATAATGAGGTCCCTAAGCTGCAAATATTTTATACACCAACTGCAGAGCATTATTGGATGCCTATGGGTGAATAAAATAAAGTGAGCCTGAGTTTACGACCTAATCTCACTTCCATGCTTTGAGAGAAGAAAGTGTGGTTGTAGAAAGCAAGCTCCTGGGGTCAGAGAGCAGATCTGCATTGTGAAATGACACAAGCAGGTTCACGCAGGCCAGCTGAGCACAGGATCTCCGTCTGTGAATGGATGTCTGTGAGGTCGCATGTCTGTGAGTTCCCCCCCACCCCCCAGTCATCTGACATCCTCAAATCTAATCATAAGTGGATTGGTCAGGCCAGCCTGATTATCATTATAGCTTAGGAAGTTTTCTAACTTCTGAATTTCCTAGGTGTATCATATAGGAGGAAACTTTGGTAACTGTTGCACTCCACTTTATTGAAGGGGATAAAAATATTGTTTTAATAATTTCTCTCTGTGCAAAAAGTATCAGCAGTGAAATTTTAGGAATGTAGTTTGTGCACTACATTTGGCCACAGTCTGATCAACCAGGAAAAAAACTTTACTGTGCAATGTTAATAATTTACCATAGCCAGTTTTCTTCCTCTTCTTGAAAATGGTAGATTTTTTTTTTAGTATTTTCCGAATCTTAGAAATTGTCATTCTATATTCACTCAAAACCCCATGCTGACACCCAACAAATTCATCCTCCCTGCCTAATAACTTTAGTGAATATGCAAAATATTCATCTAATTTACCAACCTTTATGGCACCTTTCATATCACAATATAACGTTGAACATAATTTTTCTTATTGAATTGCTGATCTTGACATTATTGAAAGCCCTTCAGGATTTCAGGAGAGTCGGTGGCTCCAAATACAATCAATCACAGTGCAGGCAGAGCAACAATTCCTTGCCCCTTGTATGGCAGTGGTCCCCAACCTTTTAGGCACCAAGGAATGGTTTTGTGGAGGACAATTTCCCACTGATTGGGGTAGGGGGTGGTTTCGGGATGGTTCAAGCACATTACATTTACTGTGCATTTTATTTCTGTTATTATTACATCAGCTCCACCTCAGATGATCAGGCAGTAGATCCTGGAGGTTGGGGACCCCGGTTGTAAGGCATTAGGTTGAAGTGCAAATTTTCTCCCAGCTGCTTTCAACTCCAGAATACAAAGAATCATAACCCAGGTGGCCAAAGATCTGTTAGGGAAAATGCCTCAGGCCAAAGACTGCAAAAAGGAGACTTGCATGGCTTAGTTTTGCAAATACAAGCTTTGTGGGTTTTAGAGGTGGAAGAGAGCTCAAAGAGGAAACCAGAAAGTGCAGCTTTCAGTTTCTAGGAAGGACTCTGCTAAACCTGGACGTGCTATTTCAGTTCAAGGATAGGAGAAAATTAAATTTTGCAAAGTTGTATGTCTTTTAAAGTGAGTTTAATGCTATGCCTCAACAGGCTACATGAAAATGTGTATACAGCGTGCACTAAAATGAAGGGCTAGTTTCCCTGGCAGGGAGGAAAATGGGAGAGGAGAGAAAACAGACTCTATTCTCCTAAAAATTCTCCAGTCTGTCTCGGAGGCAACTACAGAGTAACAGTAATGACAGATGGCAAAACTTTGACAAGACACCTACAGAGCCACTCAGCGGAATAAGAATTAACCTTCTCCTGCCTTATAACTTTACAGCAAAACTCAGAAGAGGAAGCCAGGAAAATCAGAAATCTTGACTGATTACATTAAAATTTTTCATTTAATGGTTTCTTTAATTTGAGCGGAACTAACTCAGTCCCACAATTGTCTTCTTCAACGTGAGAGCAATCCTTTCGGGAACCACAAGGCGGCACAAGTCACGCCGGAATTCTCCCAGAGGCAAACTGCCAGATTTAGGACAGTCCTTCCTCGGTCACTAACACGAACTGGTCTGCGTTGTGCCTGGACTGACTGACCTTCGGACCGGCCGCAACACTTGCATTGGCACCACCTCACAGAAGACACCTAGGCTAGGGGCCCCAGGAGGTGGGCAGGCCAGGTATCATTGCCTTGGGTGCGAACGACGAAATTGCCGTTGCTGGCAGAAGGCTCTGCTCCCTCCTCATGCTGTTACTTGGCTTCAGATTCCAAGCTCAGCCCGACGTGGGCAAAGCGCCCCAGAAATGCTCTCTGGGGACAGAGAGGAGCCCGCGGCCAGTACTTTCTATTAATCATGGTAGGTGCTGCGCTCCCGCCGGCCTGGACAATGCATCGGCAAATGCAAGGGAGGGAATCCCTCTCTTCCTCCCCAAACTCCTTCCAGCCTCCCTCTATTCCTTCCCCACAGACCTGCCGCCCACTCAAGCGGGACATCTGGATAGGTGATCCCGGGGCCAGGAAGCTGGGGAGTCAGGGGATCTGAGCGGCTGGGGACCCTGGTTGCCCTCAGCACCTGGACTGGTCAGCAGCCGAAGGACACTCGCACTCGGCGGCGGGTTGAATCACGGGTGAATCAGTCCTTGCAGGGTCTCGGAGTTTCCTACTGGGAGGAGGCGGGGCGGGGTGTGGACTTGCCGGGGGCCGCCCAACCAGGCGACGAAGGCGGGCCGGGGGCGGGGAGTCGGGAGGAGAGACGGGGGCGAACTCCGCGCAGGCGGAGGCGCAAACGTGCGCCCAGCTCTTTAAAGCGCGGCGGGGACGGGCTCCCACACACTCTGGGCTCCCCGCGTCCCTCCCGCTTCATCCCGCAGCCCCAGGTGCCTCCAGCCCAACCTCCGCAGCATCCTCACTTCTCCAGCCTCCGGGGCGCAGCAGAATCTTTGAGACCTCGCCGTCAGCTCGGGGACATGGCGACCCCCAACGGGCCCCGGGTACCCTGCCCCCAGGCCGCCGTCGCTCGGGCTCTTCTATTCGGCTTAGTCCTCATCAAGGTGGCCGGAGTCGCCGGTGAGTGGCATCCGCCCCGCAGAGCCCTGGGGCGAGCCACGGGGAGGAGGGAGGACAGGCCTGGCTGACCGTGGGCTCTCCCTGCCGCCCCGAGGTGCGGCTCGCCGGGGACCCGCCGCCCCTTCTGGTCGAGATGCTTGTTCTGGACATCCATTGTTGCTTAAGTGGCTTGGGGGCTCTCGCTTTAAGTTTAGTAAACGAGTTCCCCAGGGAGCCGACACCTTGAAAGTGATGGGACAAGGCTCCGCACCTGCAGGGGTCGACATGCAATGTTTGAACGTTACCCTTCATTGTATGTGGACTTTCCTTAATGAGAAACGGCTCTTGGCTCTAGGTCTTCTCTTGATCGTCAGTATTTTAGATTGGGTTAGTCAGTCCTTCCAAAATGTCGCTTGGATTGGAGCAGGCGCCACATTTTGCATGCCCTGTAAGCCTGTTCTGTGTGAGACGCAGGACAGAGACTAACTTTCTGAGAACTGGCAAAGAAGACCTTAACAATAAGGCATCCTAACCGAATACAGCCGACGGTGTATAGGCTTATTGTCTGCAGGGGTGTCTGTGGAAGTTTCCGTATAGTGACTGAAATTATTCATGAGGGTTAGATAAGCGTGAAAAAAGTCAAGATTTTTTTTTTTTATTGGAGGCAGTCCTAACTCTTCTGACACACGTGGGCTTTGCCCTTTAACATCATTTACAGAAACCCATCCTAGCTGGCTTTCCCTGCTGTTAAACCTGGAATCCTGCCCTTCCCACTTCTCCGGTTGGTCCGTGGATAGCCTGGGCCACTGAAGGCCCCTGAGCTGTGCTTCCAGGTCGTTATCACAGGGCTTTCCCCGTGAATTATTTCAAACAAGGACTTCAAGATCCTTGTGTGTTTCCTTAGATCACCAGGTCGTCTTTCCAGGAGGAAACTCTGGGTTTAGGAAAATATTGCCGATTTTTTTCTTATGGTAATTCAGTTAAAGCTTTTGTGGTTAGGAAAATATGAATGTGAGGTTTATGATGATGTTGGGGAGTGGGAATGTTTTATACCATCAACAGGAAATTGTGTGCTGAGAAGTTCATGTAAACATTAATAACTGTTTCTCTGTTGTTAAAAGGCACTACAGATGTAGTGAAAGCGTATAATATAACTTGGAAGTCAACTAATTTCAAGACCATTTTGGAGTGGGAACCCAAACCCATCAATTCTGTCTACACTGTTCAGATAAGGTAAGCTAGGTACCGAAAAAAAAAAAAATAAGATTGTTGTTGTTTCCACTTTCCTGTGCTGAATACAGATGTCTTTAAAGCTGATTGATGGATGAAATTATTTAACAGGTAACAAAGAAAAAGAGGGCATTCGTGGTAATTTGCTGGCTGGAGTCATAGTCATCAAGTCTAACACTGACAGACCTTAAACTGATAGAATGTTTTGTTTTCAGAGATGATTGGGTAAATTTGTAAGTAGAGCATAAGTTGTGGAGATGTGAACTTTCTTGAGCAAGCCATGGTGGCACTGATAGATGTGATCGTGGCTCACTGATAACTCATCTCTGTAAGTACACACAGCCTTTTCTGTGCTGTCTAGACTGCAAGCCGGATCTAACATGTTAGAGAAGATGTAGGGAGGAGTTCGGACACATATGTTGCCTTTAAGCAGTGTTTGATTCATTAATCTTTGGATTCATGATTCAAAATTCCGTTGCATACATGATCTTGGAGGAGGTCAAATTCGTGACTCACTGAGCGGGGAAGGAATACACCATCAAGTTTTTGGTTTTAGCAAGTTTTTTGTTTCTGAAATGTTCTAGGAGGCTTGGTAGAGATCTTATTAAGTATAGGATAGCAGCTATGGAAACTAAGACTCGTTATAGAAGGTACAGACATGTCACTGACTAAAATTAAAGGGTTTTTGTTGTTTTAACTTGTACCAAGTCTTTTATAGTGTTTAAAATGCAGTTCTTAAGTATGGAGTGGGTCTTTTAGGTGGATTTTTTTTTTTTTCCAACTTCAACTTCATGACAACTATTGCCAAGCCAACAGGGAAGAAAATTTGTGTGTGCATGCATACATGCTTGTATATATACATAGAAAGATTTAGAGGAATTTAAAAGTCAAGGTAATAATTACAATTATGGCCAAACTTGTCAAAACACATTCCACTTGATGAAAGTTATTAATTCTACAGATGCAGGCAGGGCTGAAGTTTATCTTAGTAGACACTTAGTTTCTGGGTAGTGAAAAGAAGATTTTAGGAAGGATGCTTGCCTCCTAAATATATTGAATCTTAAGTTTGGTGAACGAGAAAACATATTTCTGATTTACCAGATTTTTAAATATTTAGACTTGGTCAATTCTAAGTTCTCAGACTGCAAGGCTACTGTTATTTAAGCGTGTCAAGTCTAAGTTCTCAGCTGCTGCTGCTGCTAAGTCGCTTCAGTCGTGTCCGACTCTGTGCGACCCCATAGACGGCAGCCCACCAGGCTCCCCCGTCCCTGGGATTCTCCAGGCAAGAACACGAGTGAGTTGCCATTTCCTTCTCCAATGCATGAAAGTGAAAAGTGAAAGAGAAGTCGCTCAGTCGTGTCCGACTCTTAGCGACCCCATGGACTGCAGCCCACCAGGCTTCTCCGTCCATGGGATTTTCCAGGCAAGAGTACTGGAGTGGGTGCCATTCCCTTCTCCTCTTTGCTGCTAGGCTGCTATTATTTAAGCGGACATGGCCCCCGTGTGCAAACAACCTAGCGCAGAGCTGCAGCTCGGGGAGGAACTGTGAGTGGTCCCTCCCCCCTGCCGGAGACCTGCATTCTTCCGTTACCAGCCCACGGGTAAATGGGATTCCTAAGTAAAGGGACCATAGTAGTCATTTTATAGACGAGGAAACTGGCCCTGGGAAGGTAAGGGACTTATCTTGGTGTGCGCACAGCAGGGTCAGGAAGCAAGGCCTACGGGGCAGCGCGCACCACACCTTCTCTGTGGGTCTGCGTGTGTCTTACGTGAGATCCAGAGCCGGGAGGAGGAAAGAGAGCCGGTCCCACCCGTCCCCTCAGTGCACCGTTCTCCCTCCCGGCCGTCTTCCCTAGAGAAAGCATCTTGACCCGCCGCTCCTCCAGATCCAGCCGCCCCACCACCAGCCTGTCCCCAGACACAGGGCGCCACAGCTGTGCCTGGAGCTCCAACTGCATTTTTCCCTTTTGGAAACAGTTTTCAGTCGCAAAGTGTTACTGGTTCATGCCTTACCACGCAACCATCCCCTGAAATACTGGTTCCATAAATTCTAAATGGAAACTTCCAGAGCTTGTAGAAAATAACCTGCTCCGTAATTGATGGGTCTGAATTCTGTTGGGATTTTTTAGAAGTTCAGGCGGGACTTTTATTATTTCCAAATCAGGAGATTTTGCAATACCCAGAGGAACCTCAGAGGCGTTTATAGTGTTAATGCTGATCATAGCAGTCAGAGGAACTGACTGCAGAATTGCCCCTTTCCAACCAGTTTGCAGCACTTAATAGCTCTATTACTTTTGGTGATTGTTACTTGTGCTAAATTTTTCCAGAGGTCTGTGGTTCCTCGTGTGAGCTGAAGGAACCACAAATGCTATCTCTCAGATGGAATGTAGCCACAGCACCCAGAAGGGTTTCTCCTGTTATCTGAACAACTTGTTTGCCATAGCAGTGGAGAAGAATCATCAGGTTCTTGTTCACTTTTTAAAATAGAAATGATGCAGTTTTAAAAAATGCAGTCTGGTCATTCTGGAATTAAGGCTGCATCTCTACTTTTATCACAGAAAATTAGAGAAATCTAAGAATATGTAAACATATTTCTGTCTTAATCTTAGTTTGTGAATTTAAGGACCAAGAATGTGTCTATCCACACCCTCTTGGCCTGGTTATTTAGTTCAGACTTTTAAAAGATTCTTATTTATGATTCTTATGCCTGGATTTAGACAGTTAAATCCATAGGGCAGCTTGTTTTGCCCCCAGTTCAGCCTCTAAATGTAAACCATCTAATGCTGCACAAAGCCTCGCCATGTGCAAGCCCTAAAGCCGCACTGCTTGATGGAGGAGCTCAAGGGCGTAGAAGTACAAGCCTCACTTAAGTGCTTTAATGAGATACCAGTGCTGGGGCCAGGGAAGGGAGAGATCAGTTCTGAGCAAGGAGATCTGGAGTTTCTTGTAGAAGGTGGGATTGGAGTGTGGCCTTGAATGATGGGTAGGACACTCTGGGGGTTGATGATGGGAAACCACGGGGCAGCTGTCACCTTCCGTGGGACAGCTGTGGGTGCCTCAAGTGGCAGTGGCACTTTCCCAGGAGTTGTTTCAGTTCTGCAGAATAGTTTCATTTTTTTCATAGAAGTTCTTTATAGCATTTCAGGATAATTTCATTTTTAGTGGTTCTTTAAATCATTTCTCTTCGATGATATCTTACAAAAGGAAAATCTGTCTTTAGTCAGATCTGTCTCTTAGTCTCAGACTTTGACAGACACTACCTGTATTGTTACTCTATAATTTTTGATGGCTCATCCTGTGAAAGTGAGGGAGGCAAGTATTGATCATATAATGAGAGGAACAGACCCAGCTCTCATCTCAGAAGCTGTAAGACCTTATACAAGTTACCCAGCAGCTCTGAGCTTCAGTATCCTCATATGTGAGAAAGATCCAGTACTTTCTTGAAAAGATTATACCAAATGAAGTAACATGTTTAAGGGTCCAGTAGAGCATCTGGCTTATGGTAGTTTTAATAACTGTTAAATAACCACACCAATAATGGTCACAATAGAATGTAATAGAATGTATTATTATATAGACTCTATGACTGCATTGACTATATTTGACATAGAATACAGAATGTGATAAACAGAATATAATGATATAATAAGTAGACTAATAAATAATTGAGTCTTGATGGAAAACTGTCCCTTCTCCCACATAGTCATGACAAATCATCTACATTTTAAGAAAGGTATTTAACAAAATGATTCAGAGCACAGACCCAGTAGTCAAACTGCTGTCTGGCTCAAAAATCCAGCTGTGTGACTTTGCGCTGGTCACCCAACCTCCCTTTGCCTCAGTAGCCTTATATATAAGGACAAAGTCAATTACAGAGCACCCCCCCCCCAACAAACCAAAGGTTGCTGAGAGGACCTGAAGTGCTCAGCATAGCAAACACCTCCTCAGGATTGCTTGTGGAAGTCAGCGTTGGAACACAGCACCCCAGCCAGAAAACAATTATCTTGTTGGATGCAAATCATAATGTTCCATTTCTCTTCCTTCCTTTCCTCAGCTCTAGATTAGGAAACTGGAAAAACAAATGCTTTTACACCACAAACACGGAGTGTGACGTCACTGATGAGATTGTGAAAAATGTGAAAGAGACATATTTGGCGAGGGTCTTTTCCTACCCAGCAGACATTAGCAGTTTCACTGTGGAGCCTCCATTTACCAACTCCCCAGAGTTCACACCCTACCTAGAGAGTAAGTAGCTCGATTTGTAGCAACCTTTCATTCTTGTTTTCATAAACTTCTAAATATTCTGTGAGCTTGTGAGCCTTAGGAATGATTACATTAAAAAATGCTTATCCATAAACACATCTTTTTTTTCTCAGAAAGTAGTAAGTGCCACAGCCCTCTTTGTTCATTCTGGATGTGGTAGGAGGTTCATGGGATGTGAACTTTGGAGTTGATTAAAAATGTCATCAAGTGGCTTTCTCCTCCAGTCTGTCCCCAGACCCTACCAGTAACTGGCCGGATAGAGGGCAGAGAATAGGAAATTCACAAAGGCTGGCAGTTCCAGTATTTCCCCATATATATTGGTGACCAAAAAGTTCCATAAGATCTTATGGAAAAGCCCAAATGAACTTTTTGACTGGCCCAATATTTAGGAGATTTTATATATCTTCTGAATTTTGTGTCCCATCAACAGAGCAGAAGTCCCAATTAGGGTTTTTCACAGAAGGTTACAAATCCACAGGGAAAGTTCAGTTTCCCCCCATCTCGTCATTGGGCTTGCTGACCTTTTTCCTCACTTGACCATGATTTGAGTCCTGTGATGTGCTGGCACAATGCCGGGGCCAGCTCCCATCCTGCTTTCTTCATGCTGGTCTTGAAAACACAGAACGCTTCTCTCCCCAGCCTTTGCTAAGGGAGTACAAAGGATTCCTGCCAAGGAGGAGATGCAGATTTTTCATCATGGCTATGTTTCTGAACTAGGTATTTTATGTTATGTTATTTTATTTTTTTGAAATAGGTATTTTAAATAAAGACACATGCAGCATGTGGAGAAGAGTGAAATCAGCAGCTCTAGTAGAAGATTTAGCATGAGAGTGTTGTGTTTTTGGTGTTTTTATGTTTACCCCGTGGAGTTTCTCGAGGCAGGGTGGAGAGAAGGAGGCAGAGGGACAGGCAACCCCCTTTCCCCTTGGTATCTACTCTGAGGGTGGAAATAGGGGGCAGCCTCACCCCAGGTGAATCGGACTACCTGCCCTGAGCCTCTGTCTACCAGAGCCTGTCTTCACACTCCTTAGTGCTTTTAACTGTGTGCCTCACCCGGTGCTGAACTTAGACCCCACCTACAGTAACTACAGGTCCATTGATATTTATTCTCCCTCCTTGGGCAGCATCCTCACAATTTCTTTTTCTAGTTCTTGAGGATTTTTAAAAATAATTTTTATTTGTTTCTATTTTTGGCTGTGCTGGGTCTTCCTTGCCGCATGGGCTCCTCTCTAGTTGCGGTGCACAGGCTTGTTATTTCGGTGGCTTCTCTTGTTGTGGAGCACGGGCTCTAGGGTGCATGGGCTCAGTAACTGTGGCCTCTGGGCTCTAGAGCACAGGCTCAGTAGTTGTGGAGCAAGGGCTTAGTTACTCTGAGACATGTGGGGTCTTCCCAGATCAGGGATCGAGCCCCTGCCCCCTGCATTGGACAGCAGAGTCTTTAACACTGAGCCAACAGGGAAGCACCATTCTTGAGCTTTTTGTAAGCTACTTCAGATCCTTTTTTGGTGCAAGAGGGAAAATAGTGTCTATTTCTGTGTGCTCAAACACACACATCCTTGCCTATAACTCCTATTGAATTATGAGGATTTGTTTCACTATTATTCAACCAAAGCACATGAGATAATTGAACCATCTAAGAGACCTGGTGGTTAAAAGTGATTTTTTGAGATACCAAGGACATTTCATGGGCTTTCCCACAGCCTCTATTGTATCTAAAATATGGAATCTTTTGCAGCTGTTTGGTTAACCACATGTGGCTGTTGAGCACTTGAAATGTTAGCTAATGCTATACGTGTAAAATATACACTGGATTTTGAGAAAGATCTCAAAGTTTTCATATTTATTAAATGTTAAAGTTATAATATTTTAGCCATATTGGGTTAAATGAAATAGATTAACTTCACTCATTCCTTTTTACATTTGCTATCATGACTACAAGGAGATTTAAAGTGACATCTGTGGCTCCCAGTACATTTCCACTAGACAGCACTGCTGTAGAATGTCTCGTGGTTCAGCTCTGGTGCCAGGGAACTGGTTCTTTGAGGTATTTCATGAGGGATGACTAGGTGGTTATTAACCATGATAAATCAATGAGGTTCTACTTCGTATAGAACTCTTTGGTCCCAACAAAGCTCATTTTCTGTGTTTTAGCAAATCTTGGACAGCCAGTAATTCGGAGTTTTGAACAAGTTGGGACAAAACTGAATGTGACCGTACACGATGCACATACGTTAGTCAGAGCGAACAGCATATTCCTAAGCCTCCGGGATGTTTTTGGCAAGGACTTGAATTATACACTTTATTATTGGAAAGCTTCCAGTACAGGAAAGGTGAGCATTCTTTTGTTTTTATGACTTGTTTTAAATTGCAGTTCCTTGATTTCACCACTTCTCCAAGTATAACATCAAAGCAGGTGGTTGACAGGGCAGTGTTGTGGAGTGAGAGGCAGACTGCTGTCTTGGTTCTGTCTGTGACTTCCAGCTGCTTTGGACTGGCCTGCCTCGGGTACCCACATTTCCAGCCACGGGGCAGGACCAGTCATCTCTAAGGTTCCCACCAGCTCCCACATTTCTTCTTCTATTGAGGATCCCAGAGACAGAATTTGTTTTTCATTCAACAATTAGTACTTCTTTCCTTTTTTCCTTTCTTAAAGGGGCTAAATATTGGGTTGACTGTATCCAAAGTGGATGTCTTCATCCTTGGGGGAAAAACTCGTTAGCAGTTATCAGGGGGAGCTTGATGAGCCAACTGACTTCCAATCTTTATGTCAGATGTGTCCACATTGTCTGGGTTTCCCTGGTGGCTCAGACTGTAAAGAATCTGCCTGCAATGCAGGAGACCCAGGTTCTATCCCTAAGCTGGAAAGATCCCCTGGAAAAGGGAATGGCTACCCACTCCAATATTCTTGACTGGAGAATTCCATGGACTGAGGAGCGTGGTGGGCTACAGTCCATGGGGTCGCAAAGAGTCAAACACAACTGAGCAACTAACACTTTCATTTTACTACCGCAGTGACTTAGTAAAGGCAACAGAATTCACTGTGAGCCTGGATGAATAAAGAACTCTTATCTTTTAACAGAAAAAGGCCACAACAAACACTAATGGGTTTTTGATTGATGTGGATAAAGGCGAAAACTACTGTTTCCATGTTCAAGCAGTGATTCTATCACGAAGAACTAACCAGAAGAGTCCAGAAAGCCCCATCGAGTGCACTGGCCACGAGAAAGTTCTGTCCACAGGTGAGAGGCTCTGCCCATGATCTGGGAGGCAGGGCTGCCTTCCACAGGACTAGCTCCACCCTCAGGACTGGACATACTATCTTCAGGGGAAAACTGCCTGGTATTTTTGTGGTTGGGGGCTGGTGGGTACTCATAATTTTAGACATTTAATTTCTGTGTCATTCCCTTGTATTAGCAGGTGTTTTTTTAGTTTTAGTTTTTGTTTTTGTTTTTTTTGCACCTAGCATGCACTAAGCTCTCTGCTGAGTGAGCCCTGGGCCCATGGTAGATGTTTAGGATTTAGTATCAAATCAGAGATTTCTCTGGGCATTTTTTCATACTTCTGGTTTGTGGGGAGCTTCACCAGCTCACCTGGGGAACCAGATGCAGCAACACCCCATAGATGTTTGTGAGCACCTATTATGGGCTGCTGTTACCCCAGGCTCATAACCCATGACGCAGAGGGATTGGGTCTATCAGATATCCCATGTGTACATGTGTGTGCCTCACTGGCATACATGTGTGCACACATGTGCCACACCAGAGCACAGATGCCAGGTGAGGAGTGGATCTTATCTGGAGGTGCCTTGGAGGCTCAGACATGTGCACGAGGCTGAGAGCCCAGGAATCTGCCTCCAGGCTTGATTGGGATGGTGCTCTGAGTACTTTAAGGGAACGGAAGAGTGAGAGGATAGTAATAATGACCCAGTGCCCTGCAGAGAGGTAGTATAAATATTTTAAAGTCACTTTAAAAATTCTGTCCTGTTAACTGGCCTTGACAGAGGAAAGGGCTCTCCTCCTCCCAGGTCCTGCACCATTTGGGCCATCACACCCGCCACCCTCACATCCATCTTCCTAAAGCCAGCTTGAGTTCCCCCGCCTCACTGTCTTCATGCACACCTAAGTCACTGCTTCCCCTGCCTCCTCTCTCTGCTGAAATGTGTCCTCTGAGAATCATTTCACATGCCACCTCTACCAGGAAGCCTTCTTATTGCCCCAGCCAGTTATCTCTTCTTTATGTGAACCTGGGTAGCACTCTGTATCTGTCTTTGCACTGATGGTTCATCCACTATAATCATTGCTACCCGACTCGGCATCATCTCTAGCTGCTTGTTTCTAACAGCTATTCTTGCTTCCATCTACATGTGTCTTTCTAGACTGTGAGCATTATCCAGTTTGTTAAATGCTTTTCCATCGTTGTCAATTGCCTGCAAACACCTAGGGTTTGAGAGATTCTTTCCTAATAGAAATGTGTGGTGGAGAAAAGAGATTTCAAGTTACACAAAAGCTGGATGGTGTAATTTGGGGTTATGCCCTGGGTTCTGCCCACTGAAAAATGGGATTCAGGGTCTCTGAGTTGACTTGGTACCTTTTATTTTTCAGAACTTTTCTTCGTCATTGGAATAGTGATGCTTGTGATCATCATCTTCATCACTGTCCTGTCTGTGTCTCTGCACAAGTGCAAGAAGGCGCGAGCAGGGCAAAGTGGGAAGGAGAACGCACCCCTCAATGCTGCGTAAGAGATCCTGCTCCTGGATCTTTCTGCCAGCTCTGCAGAGCTCGTGCTGCACTGTGACCAGGAGCTCTTAAGGCAGTAGAACACATGGAAACACAAGTGGCTGTTTTGGAGCATACAGACCCTGGGGCTCAAAGAAAGTTCGTAGCTGACCTTTTCGTGCAATTAGCATCTTGGTTTCAACATCAGCATTAAGACACTTTGGAATGTAATGAGCGGTACAACCCACTCCAAGTTTTTAAATTGCTATTTTAACACTAAGGCACCTTTTGCACATATCATGCTTTCAGACTGTACATTTTCTACATTCAAGTTGAAGCCAGATTATCTAAGGAAAAACAAGTGAACAAATGCCTTAAAAATTCCTGCTTGGACTTTTGGAGAACTTTTGAGAGGCTGACATCAAACCATGTGGGAAAGTAAGGTGGAAATTGGGTGGACTTTCTAACATATGTCTGTCTTTTTGTGATATGGTGTATAAGGTCTTTTTGTTTTTTAGTGCTTTTGGAGGTTTGAACAATTAGCAAACGTTTATATGAATGTGTTAAAAGCAGAAGACTTGTATTTGGGGCACATTCTTAATATGCATTACAGTTTAGCACTTTAACTGACAAACGCTGTTGATGAAACACTTGACAGCTAACTATATTTTTATAAGACAACTCTACCAACAAATCGTACAGAGTTTAAGATTTAAGGTACTTCAAACTTTATGGTCCACATTGTATGTATTTATATAATTTGAAAAAAGGTTTTATATATGGGGATTTTCTATTTATAGAGGTAATATTGTTCTGTTTGTATATTTTGAGATAATTTATTTAATATACTTTTATATAAATAAAGGTGAGTGGGAAATGTGACTGTTACATGTTCCAGTTATTATTTATGGTTCGGCCTTTGTATTGGTTGATTCTACTGCAGTACCAAGTGACAATGAAATTTTTAGTGGCTTATGACAATGGTAACTTTATGTTACACTTACGGTTTGGTGGCTGTGGATTGACTGCAGCTCTTCTTAATGTCTCCTCATTCATTCTAGGACCCAAATCAGAGGTGAAACCCCTTTCGGGATTGGGACAGTGAAATGAATGTGGCTCAGTCGTGTCTGACTCTTTGCGACCCCATGGACTAGGCAGTCCATGGGATTCTCCAGGCCAGAATACTGGAGTGGGTGGCTGTTTCCTTCTCACAGAGGGCAAAGCAAAAAACAGAACAGGCAGCCATGTCTTCAGGCTTTACACTGCCTCCTAGGGCTTCCCAGGTGGTGCTAGTGGTAAAGAACCCACCTGCCAATGCAGGAGACTTAAGCTGCCTCCTAAAACTTCTGCTTCAGAGTGGCAATATGCCACTTCTGCTTACGTACCATTGGCCCAGTCAGGACATGTGACAAAGCCTGACACTACCCTGTGGGAGGCACCACAGGTCACATGGCAATGGGCAGGGATGTATAGTTTCCAGGGAAGGGAGGAAATTGCCTGCCATCCTCCATCAACTTAGCAGGAGAGAGTTCTTTCCTTGGGCATTAGTTTAAGTTGCACATGAAGGTTGGAGAGGAGAACAGAAGAAAAACTTTTTGGATTGTTCAAAGAAAATTGAATAAAAGGACAATGTAAGGAAGAGAGAGAAGTGGAGTGGAGTTTCTAGAATTAATTAAAAGCAAAGTAGATTGAGGAGCATCTCAGGTGGCACAGTTGGTAAAGAATTCCCCTGCCAATGCAGGAGACACAGGAGACATGGTTTCGATCCTGAGTTGGGAAGATCCCCTGAAGTAGAAAATGGCAACCCACTCCATTATTCTTGCCTGGAAGATTCCATGGACAGAGGAGCCTGGTGGGCTATAGTCCATGGGGTCACAAAGAGTCAGACGTGACTGAGCGCGTGCGTGCACACACACACGCACACACACACGCACACACACCAGACACAGTTGAGAGTCCTTTGTGAGCAGGATAGGGCTGCTTCTTGATGGTGGCCTTGCCAGAGGGCTGTTAGACACAGCTGTGTGGGACTGACTTCACTGCCTCTGTCTGGAATGTAAAAAGTGAGTCCTCCATTCAAATGCAAATAAATCTAACACACTGGTCCTGATCTCACAACTGTATTGACATTGAATTCTAAGTAGAGATGAAAATGAGACTCCTGGCACCCCGTTGAGCCACAGCCTGTTTGCTTCCTGCTGGGGGGTGGGTGTAGTGCTGCCTAGGGAAGGTCTCGGAGGGCACCCCCACCTGCACATGGTCCCACAGAGGAGACCCTCAGCAAACAGCTCACTGCCCACCTATTCACAAATTTTAAGTGCATTTTGTTCGTTTGCTCTAAAGAACTCTTAAGCGTTGTCAGTAAAATTCTAAACATGAAATGCTAGATATGGCACCATATTCTAAGGAAGCACAGGCCAAACAAACCTTTCACAGCTTCATAAAGATGGCAGCCTGAAAGAAAGAGGAAAACAAGGTAGATATTTTGAAGAAATGAAGGGAAGCAGGCCAGTGGTTGGTTCACTGGGCTGGTTTGGTTGGGTTGTTTGCTGTAGTCAGTCTGTGTCAGTGCTGGAGGGGCATTCACACCAGAGAAGGAGGGTGTGCATTTGCAGCAGAGAGGTTGGCATGGGGGCATGTCCCGAAAGAAATGTGCACTGGCTGTTATCTTGAATTCCTGCTCCCATGGGGCTAACTGGGACAAAGAGCTTAGCGCATGAGGGCAGAACAAGCTCCCAGAGACGGCATCTGGCTGCTCTCTCCCTGCCAGGAATTAGCACCGCGTTTTGCAATCCCGTGGCCTCATAATCTAAGGAATGTGAATGGTCCCACTAAAGAAAGTACTGGTAGACTGAAAGCTGGTCTCGGTAGGAATGAGGTGTCTGGCTGTTCACAGGGAAGGAATTCATTATGGATCCAAACAAGGCTACAATGCAATGACTGGGAAGCTTCAACACTGCAAATTCTAACCACGACTCAGGTTTCCACACTGGTCCTTATTGCTGAGACTAAAGAGCTACTCCAAACACCAACATTGTAGTTAGTGCTGGGGCAGAAAAATAAACTGTTGATTGTTCTGCAGGATCTGCTGCCCTCCAGTGGGCCAAATCATACTTCGTTATTTATTCTGGCCCCTTCAGTTCAGCTCAGTCGCTCAGTTGTGTCCGACTCTGCAACCCCATGAATCGCAGCATGCCAGTCCTCCCTGTCCATCACCAACTCCCAGAGTTCACTCAAACTCATGTCCATCGAGTCGGTAATGCCATCCAGTCATCTCATCCTCTGTCGTCCCCTTCTCCTCCTGCCCCAATCCCTCCCAGCATCAGGGTCTTTTCCAGTGAGTCAGTTCTTCGCATTAGGAGGCCAAAGTACTGGAGTTTCAGCTTCAGCATCAGTCCTTCCAATGAACACCCAGGAGTTATCTCCTTTAGGATGGACTGGTTGGATCTCCTTGCAGTCCAAGGGACTCTCAAGTGTCTTCTCCAACACCATCAATTTTTCGTGCTCAGCTTTCTTCACAGTCCAACTCTCATATCCATACATGACCACTGGAAAAACCATAGCCTTGACTAGACGGACCTTTGTTGGCAAAGTAATGTCTCTGCTTTTTAATATGCTATCTAGATTGGTCATAACTTTCCTTCCAAGGAGTAAGCGTCTTTTAATTTGTCCCAAAAAGCTAACTGCTAGTAAACTAAACATTGGTGCTTTGAAGACAGGTTTTTACGATCTTAAATCATTAACCAAGTTTGACTTACATATAAGAGACTAATATTTGTGAAATTCAACGATATTTTACCTTAGTTACAGCTGACAGCCAGTAACCTAAGGACTTGTCTCAAATAAACAAAGGAAAAAATTCAACCACATAGTAAATAAACTCATTTCCAAATGCAGTTTTCACCTGTTCTAAGATGTGTGTATTTAGCATGTGTGATTTTTCTCCAGTAGTTACCTGAGAAGCATCGACAGTTACAGTGTGACTTTCATTCATACCACACGCGTTCAGTGGACTCTAGTTCTTTCCCACACCCCTGCTTTTCAGCTGCAGACAGAAGTGATTCTGGCTTTGCCATTCAGCACATTCCTTCCTCGTGGCTGCAGAAGTTGGCACATGTGCTAACCTGGTCTAGGAATGGTGACTCTCGGGGTGCTTTCTGGGAATGTTGGGATGCTCTCTCTCTTGCTGAACATAATGAAGAAACCTGTTAGCCACAATGTTAGCTTAATCCAATGGTCCTCGAAGTGTGGTCCCATATCGCAGGTGATGGAATAAGAAAGAGCATCACTTGAGAACTTGTTAGAGAAGTAAATTCATAACCCTGACCTCAGACTTACTGATTTAGAAATCTATATTTTAACAAGAAGTCTTTCAAGTTATCTAATGCCCAGTGAAGTTTCAGAACCATTGGCTTAATCTCTAATTTACTGCCATGAGAGACTAGGAATAGTTCTATTCTCAAACGGGACATTTCTGAGCCCTGAGAGAGGTCAGAACTCAGCCTGCTGTGAAGCCTAAGTCAAAGGAAGAATACACAGAGCCTAGAGAAATCCTCAGTCTGCAGCTGCTGCACTGGAAGGTCTATCACACATGGTCTATTAGGACTTTTCCTGTAGCAAGGTGCTGAAACTCAGAACTTAAGCAAAATTGGGAAGCCTATTCTCTCTTTTGTCAAGTGAGCTAATTATTTGAAAGTTCAATATTTTTAGCTTAAATTCCATGATTATGTGTTATTAGATACAGCACATATAATTACCAACTGAAAGATAACTACCTCTGGCAGAAATGAAAATACTTTATAACAATCCAGGAGTTTTGTAACAGAAATTGCAATTCACCTTGAATGCACAAAACCCAGCAAACATTTAAAACAGGGTTCTAAAAAAGCCTTAAGAAAGGTTTTTGACATAATGCAGCCTGAATTTCAAAAATCACTGGAAAAATATGCTCCATCTACGAAGCAACATGTCTTCTCTAAGTTCATAAGGTCAGAGAACAAGAAACTTTCAGAGGGGCAGGCAG